AACAGAATGATGGTTAAAACGTTAAAATTGGTCTAGTAGATCATGAGATATAATTATTTTTATTTTTGCAATTATATACTTTTTTCTTTATTCAAAACTTTGAATATGTTCATGAACTTTGAACCTAGGTTCAATAGAAACACTATTTCCAAGCATAACAGGGGTCAAGTACTGTTTAAAAAATGTAGTACATAACATTGGTAAACCAATTGTAGGTAAAGAATTCCGTTCAATTTCAAACTTTTCCCAATGTTCTTCATCTTTAACACAATCATTAATACTATGTAATAGATTACATAAAGAGGTAGCACGATCAGTTTTGTCATGTATGTCTATTTAATGATTCAACTCGCTGGGTACTTTGCACACCAGCTGTAAATTGCTTACAAATCCATGGAATAGACCACGATTCTTTAGTGGTATAAAGGGTATTTGACAAATACCCTGCTGCAGCAGAATATTGATCAATTAACTGTACTCATCATTGTTCAAATAACTCGTTACATAATGAATTTCAACAGATATAGAATTTTTGACGGAACTTTTTAAATTGAGTACCCAATTTTCCTTTAAGCTTTTTACATAGATTCAAATCTATATGAAAGATACATAATAGATGCCGACTATCAGAATAAACTTTTTTGATTGCACTAATCATAGCAGAGTCTGAATCAGTAAAGAATACTTTTGGAAAAATGCCTGTTTCATTTAATAATGTTTCGCAAATCCATTGAAAAGTTTCTAAAGTTTCATTCTCAATAATTGCGCAAGCAATAATTCTTGGTTTAAAATGGTTATCGATTACAGTAATAACACAAAGTAACATTTGAAATCGATTCGTATTTGCAGTAGTATCAAGTATAACAATATCGTGAAACATTTCATAAAGATTTCTTTGTTCAGGAGACATCCAAATTAGAGAGCTTAACTTCCTTGATACTGATTCTAGTCATGGCTTAACTATCTATAGTGGATTCTCATCCTTTCAATTTAATAAAGTCTGTAGTATTAAAGAAGTATCTAAATCACCTGAATTATTCTTTCGTCTAATGTTATACACAGCATTATATAAATTGCATTTATACAAAGGATGATCTGGGTAGTCATGTCGAAGCAATGGATATATCGTTCCAGAATCCATTTTACCTTGGATTACATACTTTTCAATATCACTTAACATTTTTGGTGTTATTTTACGAAACTGTGCACTGATTTCACCAATCATGGGAGTAAGCGGATAATTATAAGAATTATCAAAAGTATTGATTTTTACTTTTGAACTCTTTTTAGGATATGAGACATTTAATTTCTACTGATATTCAGTTTGTTAAGATGTAGCATTACGGTGTTTAACAAGATTAGATGTTATTTGTGGACTGTGTATACCAGCTTTGGTACATACATATACTACTCTTCGCATTATGCCATTATTCATTTCACTGGTTCGAATCTTGTAGCTAAACCCTTCTCGCTTTGCAAATTGTTTAAGCCAAATTTTAAAAAGTTGACAATTTGAAAATGAGAGACCTTGAATCAATTCTAATGAGTGTTCATTCTCCAGCTCATTTTCTTGTACTTGTATATCGTTAGTATCATTTTGTGCATCCAGAGATAAATTAGCACTATTAACTGCATCAACTAAAAGATTTTGTAATTCTAGAACTTCATTCTTAGAATAATGTTGGTCTGTAAACGTTTGTGAATATGAAAAATTAGATGCAGGATTTTGTAGTTCTAATATTTCATCATCTTCATAATAAGGTTCCGGAATTTGTTTCTCACAATTAGACTCATTATCCAAATAAAGTTGACCTGCAGAAGTTAGAGATAAACCATTTAACATGTTGCTTTGCGACCCTGAAATCTCGCCCTCAAAATAAGGTTGACTTGTCAACATCTGTGAATATAAAGAAGCATTTGTATTGGATACAAAGTTTTGTGATTCTAGAATTTCCACCAAATAAGACTGATCCGTAGATTTCAAAGAACTGAATGCAAAATTCTTATCAATAAACTTAGCTGGTCTTGGAAAATAATTATTATTAACATATAGATCATCCTATTTATTATTAAAAATACAATTGTGTCTGGTTAAGTACAGAACTATGCTTTGCAGTTAATAAATTCAAGATTACCATTTTTGCAGATATATAATAGTTGATATGTTAAACCAGAAGTGCTCTTGAAGTTGTTGTAAACACTATAATGAAAGAAAGGTAGCAAAATAATATAAATAAAGGTAGATATGGCGGAAACACAGTATTTGTTGAAATACAATCACGTGATAATATCGAAGCGAAAGAGTTAGTTAAATAGTGCAACAGTATTTATTCAACGAAAATGCCCTTGAAGTTGTAAGCACTAACGAAAAAAGGTAACAATATACTATAAAAAAAGGCAGATACAGCAACAAAACAGTATTTATTAAAATAAAATCACATGTTAACGTCGAAGCGAAAGAGTGAGTTAGCTAAACGGCTTATCAGTATTTATTCAACATAAAAATTATATATTATAATAGACTATGTGTAACAAAATTACATATTATGATAGACTATGTGTAACAAACATATTACGTAATTAGTGTACAATACACACACTAATTTTTTATTATATATATCGATATATATATTTATAAATTAATTAATTAGATCAAAACAATTACGTAATCCGTGTATAATACACATAGTATATACTAAGAAATTTTCTAATAAAAATACTAAAAAACACTATGATTCTCAGAATTTTACTAATTGATTATAAGTTTATGCTCTAATAAACCTTGTTCAGCACAAAAAAATACATTATTTCGGTATATTTAATTTTATATTTCCTGAAAATTTAAGAGAAGATGCTTAATTTTGGATATTTTGATCAAAATATCCAAAATTAAGCATCTTCTCTTAAATTTTTGGAAAATATAAAATTAAATATGCCGGAATAATATATTTTTGTGTGCTAAACAAGGTTTATTAGAGCATAAAGTTATAATCAATTAGTAAAATTCTGAGAATCATAGTATTTTTTAGTATTTTTATTAATAAAATTATATAAAATATTAAGATTCTCAAAGCTATATACTATATATGGGGTGTCAAAAGTAGAAACCAAAAAATTTGACAATTTTTTAAAAATTAACCTGTTTAATTGATTAGATGTAAAATTTAAAGCACAATCTTTTTTATTTAATAATGAAAGTTTAATCACTTAATAAATTTTTGCGATATAATGGTTCAAAGCTTTTAATGCTATAATCTAAAAATAGATTTACTAGTGCAAATGTTAGTACGATAGTGATCTACAGATTTAATAATCCTGTTTAAACAGGTTTGTTAATATTGAATAAACTATTTTTTAGATTGTTTTAATTTTGTGTAACAAAATAGTTTTTGCTGATTTTCTCAAAACCCATGATCGGCCAAATTCCCTGGTTTCTATTTTTGACGCCCATATATATTTTAAGCCTTATAAATTTATTTAGTGAATTAGTCCATATACGTTTAATAAGTTATGCATCAATACAAAAAAAAGTTTCTTAGAATTTGAGCTGGGATCCTTTGAATATCCATCATGATTATTGTGAAATTTGAATCTGCGCCCGGTTTGTCGATCATTATGCATGTTTTGTGTAATATCTACATATATATATAATATCAAATTCTGAAATTTAACGAACAATAACTCTTATTCAAAGCAATTTATTTAGCATATTTTTATGTATTATATTTTTCTTATATTCTTAAATATTTAAAGCGTACATTTCATTTATCATATTTTTGTGTATCATATTTTTCTTATATTCTTAAATATTTATAGCGTACACACCTTATTTTATCTATAATGATAATACTATATTTTATTGCTTTTTTTATATTTTTAAAATGCTTATTTTATGCGCTTATTTTATTTTATCTTAGAGCGAAATTTGATATCTTAAACGGTACTATTTGGTCTGTTCTCTTTTAAAGCTTGATATAAGTTATATAAGCGCTTTTTTTCATTTTTTTCATGCTGGCATAACTAAATGACTCGACTCTAGTGTTGTTAGCTTGAATATTTTTTCTTGGCCTTCCTTGGCTAGAGTTAATACCTCAATCCAGATATATTTTTTATATCCGGATTAATCCGGGTTTATCATAGTATAAATCTACAGGTAGGACCGTCCCAAATTAGGAGATGATGATCCCGATCATGCATATTAGATTTAGCCAATAAAATTCTAAATATTAATCATATG